AATTTCCATGCGGTATTGCGGTTTTTTTACGTTTTTTTACGCGGTTTTGCGGTTTTCGGACCCCCCTTACACCCCCTCATAAATCTAAGTCACAAATAAATATATAAGAAAGCCACCTATTGTAGCTACCATTCTGCATAAAAGTAGTGTAAGATATTAATAAATTGTAAATAATGTTAGTATTGTAAGTTGTGTTAGTATTGTTAAATTGTAAGTTATGTTAGCACTGTAGGTAGAGTAGGTAATTTTTGTATGTAATGTGATGGAGATATGTTCAAGATTGAACGCTAATGAGATTCAAATTCCTTAAGATAAGCATCACGAAGTGTCCTCATTGGTAAAAAGTCACCAAAACACAGACAATTCTGTCACATATGAAGTAATATGAAAATGTCAAATAACCCTGCCAAATATGAAGTACTAATTAAACAATACTTGCGTTCAATCCTGGACATAAGTGACGTAATGTTATTGTTGCAATAAGAAAATACGCAATACAATCCCTAATTAGTTGAAATTAAGACCGACAAATGTATGCTCTCTGGGCCTGTCCCGATTGCGCTGGAAAAATCGCCAGAAAAGGCTCAAAACATGGCGAAAAAATTACTCAAATAGTGCTCGATTTCTATAAAAAGTGCTTGAAATTTAGAAATAGTGCACGAAAGTTGCTCGCGCTTACCTTTTTTTATTATTTCCTAGCAGATGTTTATATCTATTCCTAGTTTCATCAAACTTTAAACTCTCGATTTTCTAATATACTGAGGTGACCTTAGACGGCAAAGGGCTGACATTGGTACTCTTTCAGACGCTACCATGCACTCACATTAGTGGTTTTAGCGCTTCCTCTCTGTTTATTAATTCCTTTGTTGGTAGGCAATTTTCGATTCCGTGCTATCGATTGGCTTTGTGGTGCACTTAACGACGCTCCAGAATCTACTGCCACTGTAATTGGGTCAATGATGTTTTCGTCTTCAGACTCGTTGAGCTGGTTTGTTGCTTCCATCTTTACACTATTTAACTGGTTTAGAAACAGTGCTATACAACACAAACAATGTTTTCGTTAGCAGCTGCACTGAACAGAAAAGAGCGCTAAAAGTTCTGAGAAACACGAAGTGACAAACCAATCAAAATCGACTGTTTCCACGGTTAAAAGGACCACAGCTCGTGCATTTCCATGACAACAGTCAGCCAGTCACGCGACAAGGTGGAATTATTCATAATTCATGATAAAAGAATTACTCGGCTTTACTAAAAACGTTTCAAAGACAAAATATAGCATTTAACATGGGAAAATTGTGAAAAATATGTCGAAATGTTTCCCAAAAAATCGAAAAAATGCTCAAATTCTGCTCAAAAGTCAATTAAGTGCTCAAGAGTGCTGAAAATGTAAAATAGTGCTCCAAATTCGAAAAAGTGCCGAAAAAGTGCCCAGCGCAATCGGGACAGGCCTAATGCTCTCGCGTCAGTAAAAGCTTTGGTTTGCATGGAACCTGAATAGGCTCGCACAAAACCTTTTCACCTTGGAACTAATATTTATCAATAGATTTACTGGTTACTATGGTTTGCGTATATTTATTTATTATAGAAAACAAACAGAATCAGAAGCGAACAGAAAATATAGTGCGGCTTATGGATAGGTTTATTCGAAGAAAATTATTCGATAACCGTCTTGTTCCACTTAAAACTGCGACAAGCGGAGGAATTCAACACTGCTGTGCAGCGATTTT